ATTCAGCACCAACAATGAAAACATTTGGAATGAAATATTATAATAGGTTTTTCATTTTGAAATAATTTAGTAATATATATTTAATAAGTGTTTTTTTTTTATGTTTTCCGACTTAAGAGGGCGCACTAGTAGACAAAACATGGCATAAAACCATGGTTTCGTAATTCAAGTAATACGGCTTATTGAAGTGGTTTACAGTAAAAATACCTATTATAAAAATTGTAGAGTAGAACTTTTTTTTACAATCGTAAGAAGCCTGATTTTCGATATTTTTATTAATTAGCTAAATAATTAATCAATAAAAAATTTAAAAAACCGTTATAAATTACCATGCGATATCGGACGATTGGAACAAGATATCAAAAATCAGAAGAAACTTTTAAAATATTTGTCTAAAAAATATTTTTATGAAATAATATGTACCTACTAACGACTGTAAAAAATCAACTATATTCCAAATATGACTTTACACCCAAAACATGCAAAAACATGCACTATCAAACTTCATATTATTATTACTATTGTAAAATATTCTTTCCGATGTATCTTTAATTACTTTCATTACTTTCTCCCATGTATTATTTATGTATGATTCCTGGTTTATTCGTTGTAATTCTCCATTCAGTCTATCCTGATACAATTTTACTACATTAGTTTTCAATGTCTCTGTTAATTCGTTTTTTTCCAGAATTTCTTCTCTGTTTTTCCACTGATATTCTAAAATGTATCTTAACTCTTACCAGGAAGTGGTCAGATATTGCACTGCTTCCTCTCATGCTTCTTACCTACATCTATGATGTTTGACCTTATCCGATTGTCTACTAGTACATGGTCTATTTGGTTTCTTATCCTACCGCATGGTGATATCCATGTCTGCTTGTGTATATTTTTATGAGGGAACACTGTGCTACTTACGACCATATTTCTGTTTGACGCAAATGTAATAAGCATACCACCATTTTCATTCGTTTCTCTGTTTAGGCTTTCTTTCCCAATTGTCGGTCCATACCTTATCTCTTTGCCTATTTTTGCGTTGAAATCTTCTAGTACTATTTTTGGTTTCCAGTTTGATAGACTATCATATAGTATTTCCAACTCATCATAGAAAGCAGTTTTATGTCATCGTGTTTGTCCTCCGTTGCTGCGTAACAATTAATCATTATTACGTTGTACCACTTACATTTAAGTTCTAATATGCATAGGCGGTCGCTTATTGATTTAAAATTTACTATGTTCGACAAGATTTTATCTTTAACTATGAAGCCTACTCCTCGTTCATGTTTCGTTCCTCCACTATAAAACATTGTCATCCCCTGAGATGTTATACTCCCTGAGTCTCCCCAACTCACTTCTTGAATTGCAGTAATATCTAACTTATATCGTTCAAGACACGATATAGTTGTCGTCAAAGCTCTGGTCCTATATAGAGATCGCACGTTCCAGGTTCCAATTGTTATATCCGATAGCTCCAATGTCCGAGGCAATTGCTGTTGTTGTTTCATAATCAGAGTTTTTTTCCGTGGAAGGTGATTGGCCTTACGACAACCCCCAAAAAGGAGGATCTTACTACTCCAACCAATTAAGATCAGAGTAGAGAGAACTGAACCAACTAATTAAAGTAAGTTCAGTACTTAGCTCGGGGCCCCGGGTTCGCCAAACCCGTAGTGCTAATTCCTTAGCACCCCCCTGAGGAGACTACTCCTTTACTTTCGGCTACTATATCGAATTTCGACGTAGAAGGTATCTAATATTATTATAATAGTTTCTAAACTATTTTTTTTTACCTATTGGCTATCATGACGTATCCTACTGTTTTATCGATTTTAATTAAAATCGTACCTATATCATGAAAATGAGAATTTATTATACTTATTAGTTGTTAGTAATAATTACTAATTATATATTAACAGAATGTTTTCCATTGTTTCAGTATATATGGATCATGGTGAATTGGTCGCGAATAATTGATTTCCGCCTTCCTGTGAATTGATTGTGGGCACAATTGGTCGCCAGGATTATTGATTGTTGAACAAAAATGTTTGATTTCTTTGTAGTTTGTTATTAGATTATAATAGGACACAAGTCACTTAATAAATTTCATAAAGAATATTTAAATACTATTAATTACTTATTTATTTATTTTTAATAAAAGGACTGTTAGATAAATTTACAATGTGGATAACAATAATTAACAGATATATTATATATGATAATATTATATGCTAATAATCAGTCTTGTTAAGTATTCGAATACTTGTATTTAAATACTAGTATTTAAATACTTTTTTTGTATTTTAAATACTTTTCAAATACTTTCGACCCGTGTATTTTTAAATACTTTAAAAATACTTTTTTTTTGTATTTTTATTCGAGAATACTAAATACTTTTATTCTAGTGTTCAACTCGAAATTTCAATAATTACAAATTTTTCGTAATATACTATTTTAAATTTTGTTTCTAAAATATTATTCTATTATTCTATAATGATAATAGTTTTGACTAATGACTGTCTTAATGAGAATTTATAAATAAGGTTTCCCCAAAACACAATCACATAAGTGATAACAGAATGACTGAAACCCCCGTCTGCTCCTCTCTACCATAGCATTAAGTAATTAATTAATAATTATCTATTGACTATTATCTTATATCTGCTTGTACTTATTAAAGTATTATTAAGTTATTTAAACGTTTATAAATAAGTTTAAATACCTATATATTTGCATATAGTGTTTAATTATATATATTAATTATTATTTATTAATAAAATTAACATTTCAATATGACATTTATTGAACTAAAAAAAAGTATTTTTAAAGTATTTTGAATACTTTTAAAAAGTATTTGTATTTATATTCAAATACTTTTAAAAGGAAGTATTTGAATACGTATTTTAAATACTAATGATAACAAGTATTTAAATACGTATTCTGAATACATTTGAAAAGTATTCTTAACAAGACTGCTAATAATTATTATACCATTATAATATTATAATAAAATTAAAAGAAAATAATAAGAGTGTTGAAAAAAAGTATAAAGACCACGCAGAATGAATTACAAAAATATGTGACGACTAGGTTCGTTGACTCAAGGCCCGGCCGCTTCACCGCAGTTGGACCGGGACCTCTTTTATAGATAAAATAAAAAAGTCAATTTGATAAGAAAAAAAAAGTATCATTTTATATTGTACATACATTCAATTGTTGTAATTATAATACCTACCTATATTAGTTTACGTCAAATGTGAAATGAATGTATCGAATTTCACACGAGTTAACCATTAAAATTCAATTTTTAAAGTTGAAATATATTTATATATACAAAAAAACTATCTACGAAGCACTTGGTCCGAAGAAAAAGTCACCAACTATTATCAATAGAAAACTGACCAACTAAATTATAATGTTATTATTGACACATTTGCTGATTTAAAACGGTAGGAAGGTTAATTTATAGGTAAAAAGATAATATATTTTTATATTGTATTAGGTACAGCCGTATAGGTACCTACTAGGTATATTTATATTTTATTGACTTGTAATTTATCAATATTATTAGATTAAGATTAAGTACCTATATGGCTTGTTGTGTTATTAATTTATTAACTTACTCATATTATTGTAGGCACAAAGTACACTATATATTTTTATGTCTATTTGCACCCCTGCCCATTTTTAGTATTCACAATTTTCAACTTTAATAATATACAATTTATATTTTATAAATTTAATTAATTATAACATTATAACTAAATTACATAATATTACATAATTTACATACAAATCTACCAACTGCAGTTATAATATTAATATCGTATACAATTTTAAATAATTGTATAAAAAAAAATCATAAATAACAGTATTATAATATAATATTTATGTAAGATCTAAGGTCCTAAGGAGTGTTTTTTACCTAAACATTTTTAATTAATGATAATTGAATGTGTCATTTTTCTTTGACAGTAAATTTGTGCTGACGTGTAGGTATCGACCGATTCAACTAGTTTGATAACCCTTCTTTAAATTTAAAAATTCCTACATCTATGGTTTGAATGATAAAAACACAAGTCAAATATTATATTATCAAACAATTTAAATATATTAGATACCAAAAGTATAAGTAACACGTAAGTATGTTAAAAAATTTAATTTATAATATATAAAAAATATTGAAACGTAAAAAATACAATTTTTATACATGCATTTTTAATGAGAAAGTTGTTGTTGCATTTTATTGGCTAATGAATCAATTCTTGGGCTTTAACTGGTTGATTTTAGTTGAACTCACGCTTCATTTAAATCTGTTCCAAGACGATTTCTTACAGTTGACTTAATAAAATTCATTGAAGAAAAAAGCTGCTCACACGCATAAGTAGATCCAAACATTGTCAATAAAGAAAGAGTTAGTTTTTTCATAGATGCAAATGAATTTGGAAGACTTTTCCACTCATTAAGAATCACATTTTCCGATTTAATATTCCTACCAATTTCACTATGATTATTTTCCAGCTCATTATTCAAATTATTAAATTTATTTCTCCAAATATTATTTCCCTGAAATTCTATTAACTCCATTTCTAAATTCTCAATACTTAACCACTCAAAAAAACTAAGTTCAAGTTTGTCAAATTTAATATTATGTGGATTTATTAAAAATAAGTTGAATCTAGTTGACCATAAACTTAATGTTTCATTTTTGTAATCTCAATATATTTTATTCTACGTCCTACGACCATTGGTTTTTCCAGTAACTTTTTACACAGTTGAGTGTGTCACTAAAATAGTGTGCACGTGTCACTCTGTGACACGCTTGTCATAGGTTCGCCATCTCTGTACTACTGTCTACCGTAATCAGTGGCGTACACAGCTATTTTCAATGGGGGGGGCTTACATATAAAAAATTTTATACATATATAATATATATTATACATTGATAAATCAAAACGATGTACCTATAGTAATTATTTTGTACATAATGAGTAATCAGCTCATTAGCAATGACTTTAGGTGAAATTAAAAATATTTTTACAATACTCGATTATTATTTAAAAAATATATACCTACCTATTATCTACAGGTAATTATTTAGTATAACTACAAAGCTACACGCGTACATACAATATGTATATAATAATATATTATATACAATTCAATAAAAGATAGGTATAAAAAGAAATTTATTTTTATCATATTAATAATTTTTTTGTACCTAGGTCCTAGGTTGATAATATAATGCAGGGGTCTCCAAACTTTTTTATTCAAGGGCCACAAAAAAAATCAAATGCTCTTAGCGGGCCAAAAGTTTATTAACACTTATAATTTTTAATTTTATGATAATATAGGTACCTACCTATATAAATAATATGTTTACTTTATATTTTTGTATAAAATATTGTTTACTTTACAATATACTTAAATAAAATAAATAGGTATAAATATAATATAATATAAATACATTTTTGAAATAATTTTTTTATCTATATTTACATATGCGGGCCACGGGCCGGTTAAAACTTGTTGGCGGGCCGTAGTTTGGAGACCCCTGATTCTAATATAATGTATTAAATATTTACCTGGTTCCTCCGAGTTAATTGTATCACAAATTAGTGAGTTAGAAAAATATTCGTTTATTCTTTTCATTTTTATTGTTTTATAAAATATTTAAACAGTAAGTACAATTTACTAAACGTCCAAAGAGTCAGGAATTTGATTGAAAACTGAGAAATAGATTCTATATCTATACTGTAGTATTAGCGATACTGAGATAGCTATTAAGGCATATTATATCGGATTACACGATTGTCGACCCTCATGTTTGTGTTTGAACAAATTTCCCAATAATTTCATTAATTTGTAACAAGTTATCAATAATATCTACAATATTTTTTTAAATTGTCATCATTTTTATTATACATTTTTACGTTATTACGTAAACTGAAAAAATACTAAAGGGGGGGGTTTGGACACCCAAAACCCCCCCCGTGTGTACGCCACTGACCGTAATATCTATATTTTACTATATTATATTATATTGTTAACTATATAATAGTACATAAAACCCGTCAGTCGTTCCTAAGGTTACACACAGATAATCACATAAAAATTATTTTTATATAATATATTATAAATGTACTATGTATCCATGACTCAATTATTGTAAACCTAACATTATTTCCTTTGATTGCAGGTCGCATTCATAAGGCAGTTGTGTCTAGGATGAATCCAGATACTAGAAGCATTTCAGTAGAGTTGTTAGAAAATGGTGAAACAAAAGGCAAAGAGGTAAGACAAACTTCTTTGATTCACATTTTATTTCAATTAATTTTACATTATTTTTTTTGTTTATAGATTGATTTAGATGGAATTTTGGAACTGAATCCTCAATTAGATTCAAATATTCCCAGTATTACTATGGTTGCTCAAAACGGTACTAATATACCAACAACTAGCAAGTTACCTAGGGTAAATTTAACTTTTATGATGAATATTTATCATGTACAAATACAATTAGGCATTCGCGTTAAGAAAGTAGTTATGAATTAATAATACTATTCATTAATTTAAGGTATAATACTAGCTAGGCACCATACTATACTACCGTTTGTGTATAATTATTATCAGAAAAAGTATAAAGAAAATTCTATATAAAAAAAAATAAAAACGTATTTTATATTTAAACATTAACAGTATTGTTTGTCATGTGATTAAAATGGTACTATATAGTCATTGCCACCTTTGTGTGTTCGATACCTAAAACCGGTTTCCATTTGAAAATTGAATTTGTGGTTGATGAAGTGTCTGGTTAAGTATAACAGACATCAGGGCCGATTTTATGGGGGGTAAAATTTACTTGAAGTATGTAATTAAGTGAGTCATTGAGTATGTTAAGTAATATAGTCGGCAAATTATAGTTTGAAATAGTGTTTACAAAAATGTATAGCGCCAGCTCTAACAGACATTAGTAACCTACCAATATGTATGTCTTATGAAGTTCTTTCCCACTAAAGTTTATACTTTTTAGTTATAAATGTAATACAATACAATTTAAATAATTTATAATAATTAAATTATATACGTTTATAGTTTCAGTATTCCAAAAAAGCCTCAGTACAAGCATTTACAAATAATAAAGGTAAGTATTTATTTTATTTTGCTAATTTAATAAATAAGAACTTTAAATGTAATTCGACAACTACATTATACCTACAACAAAAAATTCAAAATTTTAACAATAATTTGAAGAAAAAAATAAGTTAATTCAATGAAGTTAGGTAATAGGTAAACTTAATTTTATGTTTTATGTTTCAAGTATAATTAAAGTTCACTGGGTTTAGATTATTTTCAAATTTAACTATTGATCAACAATCCAATCAAAGATTATTAAAATTATTCAATATTACACATTTCATATAAAATATAAAATATTTTTAAAGATATTTAAATTTTTTAGGTTCTTATAAAGGAGCAAAACCAGTAAGTAGGCAAACCAATCATTCACCTGCACTGAACGGCACTGGAGAAGTTTTATCAACAACTGTTCCATGTACACCTTCAAACCATCCACCCCAGTATCAAAAAATGCCCGTGTTAAAACCAGCTGATCCTCCACCTCAAACACAACAACTAACACACTTATATAGCAATAATACGGCAGGAGCTATCCGTGGTTCAAATACTACTGCAGTAGGAGCAAATGCAGCTGCTGCTGCCGCTGCAGCAGCCAAAGAAAGGCGGAATAATGTTGTTAAGGAGGTTAGTACATTGAAAAAAAACCGAGAAGAAAGGCGACAACGTCAAGCGGAATTAAAAGAAGAAAAAAAAGCGTTAATGAACATGGACCCTGGTAATCCAAATTGGGAGTTTCTTGCTATGATTAGGTGTGCTTTCTATAAATTACCGATTAAATCTAATTGTCATCAAATAATAATGTGAAAATATTTTATTTTTTAGATATTATCAATCTAATTTAGATTTTAAACCTTTGAGAGACTTTGAAGTAGTTGAGGATCATCAAATTACTGTTTGTGTCAGAAAAAGGCCGCTCAATAAAAAAGGTATTGTATCTTTGAAATACTTGATGAATAACATTATGTTTCATATTATTTCTACATTGGCATAATTAAAAAAATATGCTTTAACAATTTTTAAAAAAAGACTTCTCTTATTATATTTATAATTATTTCCATTTTCAGAATTCAATCGAAAAGAAGTTGATGTTGTTGCAATTCCTTCTAAAAATCAAGTTATTGTTCATGAACCTAAAAACAAAGTAGATCTTACAAAATATTTAGAAAACCAGCATTTCCGATTTGATTGTGCCTTTGACGAGACTTGCACCAATGAGACGGTTTATAAGTTAGTAACAAATTGTCAGTTTAATTAATAATTGTTTTCAATTTATAAAAACATGTTTGTAATTAAACAATAATATTTATTTAAATTAGATATTCTGCAAGACCTCTTGTAAAGACTATATTTGATGGTGGCATGGCCACATGCTTTGCTTACGGACAAACTGGCAGTGGTAAGACTCACACTATGGGTGGGGATTTTCATGGGAAAACACAAGACTGTAAAAAAGGCATTTATGCAATGGCTGCTAAGGATGTTTTTCGTTTTTTGAATTCGCCTAGTTATTCGCCGTTAAATCTGGTTGTTACTGCTAGCTTTTTTGAAATTTACAGTGGCAAGGTAATTAATAATAATATTGCATTATCTTTTTATAATTGTTTATTATCAAAGTATTATTCGCATTTGTCCATAGGTGTTTGACTTGCTGGGTGATAAAGCCAAGTTAAGAGTACTCGAAGACGGAATGCAAAAAGTACAAGTAGTTGGTCTTACTGAAAAAGTAGTTAATACAGTTGATGAAGTATTAAAAATAATTAATGACGGTAATAGTGCTAGGTAAATATTTTTTATTTTTTAATGATTAATAATTGAACAATATTAGGATAACATAATTTTTTTTTGTCTTAGGACTTCAGGTCAGACATCAGCCAATAGTAACTCATCAAGGTCTCATGCTGTTTTTCAAATTGTATTACGTATCTCGGGTTTAAATCAAATACATGGGAAATTTTCATTAATAGATTTAGCTGGAAACGAAAGAGGTGCAGATACATCTTCAGCCAACCGACAAACACGTAATAATTTATGAAATATTATTTTGATTACTTAATTGTATTATATTTACTTAACCTAGGAATGGAAGGTGCAGAAATAAATAAATCTCTACTTGCACTAAAAGAGTGCATTCGTGCTCTAGGTAAGAAAGGGTCTCATTTACCTTTTAGAGCAAGTAAATTAACACAAGTACTTAAAGATTCCTTTGTTGGTGAAAATACTATGACCTGTATGGTTAGTCAATTTTCATAGAAATTTATAATTAACATACATTTATGAACATTTTTGATAAATATGTGTATAATAATATTTAATATGTATTTAGATTGCAATGATTAGTCCAGGACTAAGCTCATGTGAACACTCTCTGAACACGCTCCGTTATGCCGACCGTGTTAAAGAATTGGACGCATCAGATCCTGCTGCTGGAGAAGTTCATGCGCCTAGGTATTCTCCACCACCAAGTCGTTCTAAGAATATATCTCGTAACTTACAAGATGTCAGTATGGTTGATGACGATTTAGCAGCACTAAGATCGCTTAATGTAAGTATTTTAAAGTGATATGTTATAGTTATTTATTTACTTTTAAATTAAATTAAATTAATTTGTTCCAACAGGAAGGAGAATTGTCTGCTGACTTGTACAATTTCCACGAAGCTGTTTCCCAACTGCAAGAACAAGAAGATGAAATGCTAGATAAACACAAGTCGTTACTAGAATCTGGACATAAATGGTTACAAAAAGAAAAACAGTTGTTGGCAATGACTAAAAACGTTGACTACGATCAAGATGGTAACCGAGATTAAAAAATCTGTTTGCTTGTAGTTCTCCAACTTTTAGCTTTATCTATTGCTTATCCTTTATTTTTTTTATACTCCCGTTGCTGGGACTCGGCGATTTCCAAATGAAATAATCAAGTTGATTGTTGTAAAATTAAAAAACTTTATAGCATTTTTTGAATTTATCGATTAACTTTGTTTTCTTCATACTAAATCATACCCCATCAGTATTATTTATTTTTAGTTATTTATTATTAAGCATATCTTTGGAGTGTTTATTTTCTTCGTATGTTTGATATTGCTGCATCTTTTTTTTTACTATTTTGCCGTTATTGGTGTATTATTGTTCAAATATATCATAGCGACTTATTGCCTTTTAACATATTGTTTATTATTCGTGACAAACAATATTATTATTACATAGTTATTTTGATTTCATAAAAAAACAACAATTGAGACATTGATAATTTTTATTTTCATTGTAACATTTGACAACAGGCAAATTTTAAGCCATATTTATAAAATATTTCTTGATTTTAAATTGTTATAGACTTTTATTAGAAAATGAGTTGTCCGTCCAATTGCTCATTAAAAAGCCATCATCAGGTTTAAGTCTGTCTAGTCTTTATTAATGTTTGTAATTTTTTCTTTAATTTATTATACAATTATTTATAAAACCAAATATTATTGCATTTGTTTAAAGTTCCGCATTTATACTTCGGTAGTTTATAATATAAAGTTTACTCCTTGTATTTGTTTATTTAATTATTATAATATGTAAAAAAAAATGATTTTTTTTAAGCTCCTCTTACTTTTTTATTACACTTAAAAAGACCCTGATTATTTGCACCAATGTTTTAGTAAAATATCTGGTCTTCAGTTAGCTTACTCTATTGTGTGTGCGTCTGCTTTTTGATATCATGAATTATTATGTACCTATGCGAGTTTGAAATATTTTTTGTTTTATTATCAAATGTTGTGGATCATTAGTGTTGTATTCTAAACCGTATTGTTTTTCCAGCATATTCGTTTCAGCTGCTCAATTTGCTTCAAACCAAATTAGCTGACACTCAAGATCTAGTAGAAACTGTGCTCGCATTCAGAAAACAGTTGACAACTGAAGAACAATTCAGTAAGAATATAATTAGAGGCGGCCACCGTTAGAGACATCATTTTTTATTATTGTCTAATATGTGTAATTGTTAAGCCTTTGTTTTGTAATAAAAAAATATGATGGAGTAGAAAACACGGGAGAAATTTCTATCTTTTCATACAGATACTATTGATTTTATGTGATTTTTATTCGGTGATGGTACTATTAATGGCCAACAAACATTTATGAACACTGACCGTGTTTGTTGGTTTTTACCTGGTATTTAATAATTTACTACATCGCTTTAATTAAATTTTTAACCTCAAAGAACTAAACCCTTATAATTGCTACGAGCATTATAAATTGGTACTTCTAAATTTAAATATCATTAGTTTTATATATTTTTAATTTTATGTATTTTTTCTTTTAACAAGCATTTATTCGTATTTTTTTATTTTTTACTAATAATTCACATATTAATTTAATGTCTTACTTCATAGCAGATATTTAATTAAATTGTTTTCTAATAAATGCATGTTGTATAGGAAATAACAACAAAAAAAATACCATCAAACTTTTTTGAATACCTATTTTTGTAAAATATAAAACAATAATATTTAATTAAACTAAAAAATTATTATTACGTTTATGTGCTAACAGCTGTTCAGGCATCACAATGTTGGAATAAGTGGTAGGTACCTATTTTTTAACATTCATTTTATGTAAGTCCTTTGTTTCATTGATTATTAATGATTAGAGTTTATTTGTTTTGACACAAAACTATTTTCTTTTCTTTTGTGTTTGTTATTTTACTATTCCCTATTTTCTAGAGACATTTTCAGTGTTAACCCCACGCTATTACAGTCTACGATGCAATGTGCCTTTTATATTTTGAGTTAACTGTTACTATGTAAATAATTATATTTAAACGATACTCGTCAATTTACAAGAATATATTAAATATATTATGTGCTAAATTATTTTTTTTCAAATGTGGGAATTTTAAATTTATGAATTATTTATGTTTGAACAAAAGCGTAATACCCGAATTAATTTTAAGTTTTAACGCTAATAATTATATTTGAAAAATATAAACATAAAAAAGGCATACCTCGTTCACTCATTATTTTGGTTCATTGAAACTACTAAAATATAATATATATATATGTACATATTTTTTAGATTCTGAGTGGAGAGAGGAAGCTATTGGTTTTACAATGGTGTTTATTTTTTATATCCTGTATACAAAATTTCTACCCGAACGAGAGCTTCGATTTCAACATATGGTACCTTATCTTTTAGTAAATTGGATCAAGATGGTACTTTAGAGAGGTCATTTTTCGATTTTCTCAATAGTTATATAATGCCACGGGAAAAACCACCGAAAAATTACATAAAATAAAAAATAACATGTTTGGCACATGGGATTCATAGAATTAGAGAATGTTTACGAAATGAATATTCTACTGTTGATAAATTAATAGCGACAATTAAAAAGTATTTTTGAAAGCTCCCAGCCGAATTATCAAACTACGCGAACTATTCCCAAATTTACCTTTACCACCTCAACCAATTATCACTAGATGGGGTACATGGTTAAATGCAGTAGAATACTATTCAAATAATTTTGATTCAATAAAATCTGTAATATCACATTTAGACGACGAAGCAGAATCAGTTAAAAAATCAAAAGAATTGTTTGAAGACAAACATTTACAAAATGATTTAGCTTATTTAAAAAGTAATTTTCGTTTTCTCATCCAAGGTATTACTAAAAAGTACACTATCTCTTGACGAAGGTTTAAACATTATTTTAAATGTGAAAGATAAACTGAATAAATGTAACGGGAGAGCAGCAGCAGCATATTTAAGTCATTTTACATTTACTATTTTATTTGACCGTTAAAAAAAATATTATCCCTAATACATTTTGTATAATAAATGAAATGTTTTGCCAACCGACAAAATGGCGGCCGTTCACAGCTGAGCTTCACTTGTAACAATGTAAATTGTATAAGAGTACCTTATCTAGTGTAGTATAGAAGTCTGTGTATAATATGCATGTATTTGTATATTATAATATTATAGTGTTAGCTAAAAATAGTAAAACATATACCAGATAAAAAGAAGATGATGCGTACCTAGGTATTAAATAATGTATTTTACAATAATTACACTATTTTCCAATGGAGATCACTAAATAACAATATAAATAGTATGTTGACTTTCTATTACACTAGTCTCACCAAAAGTAGAAATTAGAAACCACAAAAATCAGCTTATATTAACGATATTCCTCTGGGAGTAGACTTTCTCCATTTTTAAATGCTGAAGAATCTTTTGTTTAAAATATTGATAACACACAATACCAGTTTGGATCAAATTTGAACCTTCTGTTACACTAGTTTTTACTAAAAGTAGAAATTTAAACCACCAAAATCATATAATGTTTCTGATTTTCCACTTATACTTATTTTTTTCCAATACTTAAACTTAACCATATTTCATCTCGTCAGAATTTGTTTTGATCCAAACAAATTGAAAATTTTGGAGGAATCTTTGTTTCAAAATCTTTTATTTAATCGCTATGTAAACACAATGAATAAAAAAGCTGTCTCCTTAATTGGGATAGCCAATACAAATTGCTCCTGTTTTAATGACCCTTTTATTTTATAAATATGATTTCTCACTTCTATTATTCTTTGTTTTAAATGCAATTCGTATAGACCCAGTCACTATGGCAATGAAAATATTCTCAATTATAAAAATTTTAAATCTTTAAAGAATAAAAGAAACTTTCATTGTATTTAATTTCAATTTAAATTACTTGATAAGAATATTAATAATCTTTTCCGCTATTCCCTTTAAAATAAATAGGTAAACATAATATTCAAAATAAAACCTTATTCAAAACTCATATTTAATATTATTCATAAAGCTATATCTATATGACATGTTCACCTGTAGGCTGTCAACATTTTATTGTCCATTGGAAATAAAATTAATGATAAAGAATTTCCTAAATGGTAAATGTATATTTATTATATTTATAAATTATTAATCTTATCTTAATTGTTTAAAAAAAAATATGATAGTTATTTAGTTAATATATCTATTGTATCTATAGCATATCTATTATCCACATTGTACATTGAACTAACTATCCATTGATTGAAAATAAAATAATATTTATATTAATTGTTTATTATTATTTATTATTTATTCGTATACAACAATTAAAATATGATTACAAAATAAGCATATTTGTGATATGAGATAAAAAAAAAATAATAATGGGAATGCTTATGATGTTGAAATCTAATAAATATATTATGAGTGGCCTCTTTGAATCAAGTAAACCTGAATTATCTTTTACAATCCTACATATTATGTTCACTACACAAAAAATAACTTCATCAACTTTAATGATTGTTTAGCTACTTTATTTATTGCAAAAAAAATAAAAATTTGATCACTTAAAATAATAAACATTGCAAGCATTTACAAAACCAGTGTGTTCACATACACAATTTTCATATGAGGTAATATTAAAATGATAAACATAAATATTATAATTTTAATGTAATGAAAGTGTATTTATTTTCATAAATGTTCTATGACATGAGAAAAATCACAAAAACAATATTCTGTGAATTATATTTGAGTAATCCTAGTGCAAAACTAATAGTTTGAAAATTACTACAAAAGCAAAAACAAAAAAAGATAAATAATAATAGTCTCCAAGCTCTTATTAACATTTCAATAAATTAAAGAAAAAAATACATTTCTGATCCATCAGTCAAATGCTAGCTTATGTCTAAACAGTACAATTAATGTAATTTAAATGTTTCTTTTTACATTTCAACAACAATTTAATGTTTTTTTTTTATTAAATAAGGCTATAAAATTAAAATTATAAAAGATTAAATCCTGAAAAAAGTTTTGTGGTGGATAATTATTTTCTTCTATACTCTAGTTGTAACTATTAGTTTAAATAAAAAAGAAAAACACCAACCAATTAAAAAAAAATTAAATTAAATTAAATTGTAACTATAGTTGATTAGAAGCACCACAGTGACACAATAAATTACTAAATTTGTTTAATATAAATGACTAGGTTTTTTGGTAATTATACATTATTACATCTTATAAGAAATAGAAAAAACAAAAATCGATAACATAGTTAATAATCGCAAATAGTTTTCAATAGTGTATACAATTATTTCTTGATTAACAATTTAATAGATTATTACACACATACATAATTGTATAAATATTTCTAAAATTGGTGTGAATCTAAATAATACAATTAACTAATACATTGTTTAGCTTATATTAAAGACTGTAAACAAGATTGTCAAACTCAAGATTCAAATTTTATTGGCTATTTATTTTAATTTTAATTTTTTTTGTGTAAGACTTGTAGTGATTCATGAAGTTGTGAATTACTTACATTATTCACATTTTTGGTTTGAATATTAATAACACATTCAGTCTTCTTAAAAGATTATTTCCTAGCAATTTAATCTATTTAACAGTACAACCAACAAAAAGTATTGTGAATTGTATTGCAAGTATCCAAATATGACATAAATACATTAAACCTTACTTAATGTTTTCGAATAACTTAAATGTAAAAAAAAATATAAGTTGGTAACCAATAATCTGATTAACGAGTTTGACGTCTTTATTTAGTAGCATCATGGGTACTGACAGATACACTAATATAAGTAAAGGTCGAGTAACAAATAGGAACTTGACAATAGTGCGTTTATAGGAGCAGCTTTTAAATGGGTTTTCTATGTATTAACTTATTAGTAGGTATGCGTACAGGTCAGAGATCTTTTAAATGTAGAGCTAATTTTTTATTCTCATAAACAAATGTGTATTATCAAAAACATGTTATCACCGTGCGCCGTTTGAAATATTTATAGAGCAGGTTAAAACCTTAGAATACTACTTTTATCACAGCCTTTAGGGGTTGTTGACAATATTTGAATAAATTATGTATGTACTAAATAAATAAACAAAGTAACACAATGACATAAAGCTGTTTAAGATGTGAAAAAATAAATAAAACCGTATACAACACACAAAAAATACCAATGAGATGCAATGGTGTACGTACAACAATTTAGACTTTAAACTAAATTATAAATTCCATTAACAATATTTTATTTAAAAAAAATTGAATGAATAAAGTTTTACGATTATTACATTAGATTAATGTTGTTTTCAATGATATATGTATGTAAATAGATTTAAATTTAAGACACTAATACAATAGAATATTGTTAAAATTAAATTAAATTAAAATTATTAATTATTATTTTACATTTTGTATAATGCACGTGTGAAATATAATCACCAGGTAAAAAAAAAGTTCAAGAACTGTGGTTAAACTAAATTCAAGTTTAGAAAAATAGGTAGTTGCAGAAAGTAAGTAAATTAACTGAGTTAAATGGAAAATTGTAGTATGAAAATAAGCCACAGAGAAAATTTGGTCTTTCTTGGATTTGGGTTTAAAAACTCAATTGGCATCTCTTAAATAAAAAACAAAATTATAATATTATATAATTACGTTAAAATAAATAAAATACAATATATGATTCATAAACACGATTTATGCGAGATTAAAAGTTTAAACTAATTATTCAAATACGTTGAAAATAGTTTAAATACCTTCAATGAAAATGAATATAATAATATAATCTATAAATTTATAATATACTATTTTAATCTCTTGCAAGCTCAGTAGGTTTAAAAATTTGGTACCGGCGACATCTGTAAAAATAATTGATAATTCAATTCATAATTTCATACATTATAATAATATTATGTACCTATATTATTTATATTATACAAATAAATAAAAATAAAAGTTATTTGACATACCTAGCATTATTTTCCACAAGAGTTTGGACATCCGACGAATACATACTCGGTGGTGGTATCAAGGTAGGAGATGATAAAATATCAGACTCATAATTACGTTCAAGACTTCTACTAGATGAACCAGATACAGGTCTATAATTTGAAAATAATCCGGTATTATCATCTTGACTACCAGAAAATCTATAAAACACATAAAATATGATAATTACTAATTTACTATTAAACAGTTTAAACATGTAACATAAGATAGTAACAATAATAATAATTATTATAATAATTGGCTATCATGTAATATAATAATATAAAACATTGATTAATGATAACCATTTGTGAAATTCAAAATAAAACATATTGAATCAGGTAAAAGAGATTATTTAATAAAAATTACTAAAAAAAGTACATTTCAAAAAATTAAAGGTATTATAAAGAGATAATGAAATAAAAAACAATTCTTAACTCAATGACTACTTAATATAATATATTGTAAAATGTAGACATATTTATATTTACCTAGATCTATAGTATGATTCTCTCGACCTTCGCATTTGAGGTCTTTGAAATCGTAAATTTAATTGGGATGGGTCAGTTACATATTTATCTTGAAGTTGTCGTCGTCTTCTAAGACCAGGAGTATACTGATCATCAATTTCTTCAGAAGTTGGTGGTTTACTACGCACTTCTGTAAGTAAATTTTGGCCACGACATTTTAAAAGTGCTTCAGGTAATTGTTTTCCACTATTACTAGTTGCACTAGATTTTGATTCGTCACTAAAAAAATAAATAATTTTACGAATAAAAGCTTAATTATGTATGCACAATATTAGTTATAAAAATATATTTATTATATTATATACCTGAACATCGCTGAATTTATTTCATTTGATTCTGATAATTTTTGGTTGACGGGTAATGGAATTTTACTGTTTTTGTTAAGAATTATAGGTTGAGGTGGTTTTTTACTTCTAGAATGACACATTTTTGAATGAATTTTATAATTATTTCATCAGTAAACAAACAAATATGAAAGGTATTTATATTCATTGTACAAATAATAATACTATTAGTAAAAATAAAATATTTATAAAAGAAATAATTAATTGAATAACATGTAAAATAAAACAATTATAAGAATTTGTTCAATAGTCAACATATTTTGTAACTACCAATATTAATACAATTAAAGCAAAATATTGATTGCTTTAATCAATTTAAATGAGTCATTAAATATTTTATGTTTATTTTAGTAAACTTAGATATACCTGCTATGATCTGAGATTTTGTTATTTTGATCGGAAGAGGAAAATGATTTTATACTAATATTAGATAATTCGTTTTCATCAAAATGTTTCCCATTTATATTCATAATATCACTACTATTTCTGTTTCTAGCCCATTTTCGGTGAGCTGTAAACAAATAAAACAGATTTATTTTTATAGTTTTGTATAGTTGTTACATAAGTTACAACAAAATTAAAACTAAAAACAGTTAATTATAAACATTAAAAACAATTAATAATATCCAGGCATATAATGGTGTTAAATTTGTTAACAAAACTCATTTCATGACAATATTAATCAAAAATTAGAATATGGTAGGCTACAATATATTAAATTCATAAATTGCTGTTAGGTATTTGTTATTAATTTTCAATTGTTAGAACGGACCTTCGTCATCTTTCTCGGTACACACATTTGGTTTTGAGCTGGTTGTGTCACAGTAATTATCATTATCATTTAGATGTCGATCAACTACTCTTATTTCCAATTTTCCAGATACCGTTTCCATTGGACAATTTTCAGATACATCATTCCCTATTTTGCCGTAAGTTATACAAATGATTTCAATTTGACCAAAGGATGTATATTCTAAATTAAAACTTCTATTTTTATTGTCAAAAGAAGAATTTTTACATAGCAACATTGGTTTTCCAAATACCAATTACGAATTCTAGAATTTAGAAATACTAAAATAAATTATTTGATAAACAATACTTGATAAAAATAAACTACTGTTTAACAAACAAAAACATTTAGTTTTAATTAATTTATGTTTTGATTCTTATTTAAACAAGTTTAAGGGAGTTTTGAAAAAAAAGGATTGATTTAATGTATATTAAATTATTATAATAGTAAATTGAAAGTAATATAATACATTGAAACATGTTTTATTTACAGCTACCAAAAATTTATATCAATACATAAATAATATAAATTTAAAATTTATTTATTTTTTTATCAAAATATTTTTAAACTGAACATTTCCTAAACATGGGAACAACATTCATGTAGCACTCACCATTTTTTAGTGATTCATCGGCAAATAATTTTCCCGATAATTCATCACCGTCATTGGAAGATCTGGTTGTGTTAGTGGTAACTTGTAGAGAAGGAACTTTTAATTTCATTTTTGTTTGTTGTATGAATTGAGTTTGAAATTCTTTTTTAGGAATAATGCTCAAACTAATGTTCTATAAACCACAAACAAATACAAACTTTATTTTTTGCCACTATAACATCAAGCTTGGCACATGCTACTGAGTAAACTTACAGCTAGACTAATAGATCTTTGTAATTTCTTTGTAATACTTTTTTCCGTATTCCTTACAGCTATATTTCTACTTGTATCAAGTTCATACACAATATCATCAAAGACGGCTTCTTGTAACCAGGGTGGTTCAAGGTTTGTTCTAATTAAAAACATAATATAGATATTTATAAAAATATATTAAAAATTAAGACAGTTTAAAATGTTTTTTTTTATGTTAACTTACCGTATTTTTGTAGCAATTTGTATTTCACTCCAAGCTCGTGATAAGAGGGAATTATGTATCAGGTTATCAGTGCATTTTGAAAAACATTGTGCTAACTGATCTCTACCAGATGTCTTATCTGGTGTCTTACAATTGTTTGGGTATTGAGGATAAATGTTATCTTTTCCACTCTGTATATATACAATTAAAATAATTTTTATTTTTAATAATAAAAAGAAAAAATATTCTTGCATTTATGTGAAAATACATACCAAAGAGACACCATGCAAACTTAATCTATGTTCAGGGCTTTGAAGATTTTCTGCCTTCCACTCATTATCAGTTTCTTCAGAGTCATCGAACTGTGATTTCCATTGTGACATTAGAGTTAGCCCTACATAAAAACATTCAAGTATAATTAATATGCCATGAAGCATAAACAATCATTCAAGATTTAATAAATTAATATTTTGCTTAAGGTTTTTAATCATTATTTAGTGGCCGATGATTGGTCCATTACATTTTAGTGAGCCATTACATTTACTAATTTTTTATGCAAATTAACATAAATAATTTGAATAACATTGTAAAATCAAATGTGTGTACCTCCTCCACCACGTGTCACTTGTTGCATTGCAGACAAATTATCATCATCAATTACTGCAAATTGAGTATATGTAACATCCCTGGCAGTAGTGGCAGAAGATTTTAAGATTTGCCTATTAGGAGTAGCTTGTCGCCTAGCAAAATGTAAGCTGCGTTGTTCTTTTTTTATTTGATTTACAATACTATCTGCTTCAACCACAGGAGAACTAGCTGTTGTAACTAAGACAAAATTAAAATATAAAATCTTGTTATATAGTTTTTTTTTTTAAATTTAAATTTTACCTTTATTAGCTTCTTGAGTTGCAATAACTGAAGTATTCAAATTACCCAGATCTGAATTAGGAACACCTTCAATATTTAATGGCGTTGGTGGAAAACCAGAATCAACAGTACAGTTAGTTTGGGACGAATTGCGCTTAGCAGCATTTAACATTTCTGTTTCTCTTTCCAAACCAGGCATAGAAACAGCTCTTCGCTGAACTACTTTCTTAGGGGAACCTGCAATAAATAAAAATTATAGTTACATGCAAATATATTATTTATAATTAAAAAAAAGTAGTACTTTTTGGAATTGGTAAATGATCTAATGGTGTGCTAGATGTAGCATTACAATTTTTATCAGTAGAAATAATTTTATTAGAACCTGAATTATTTGCATCAGATTCAAGTTTTTGGGCACGTCGGTAAATTATATTATTATCACATTGTATTTGCTCCTGTGAACAGGAAAATTCAAAACAGTTAAATTTTTAACTGCTGATTTAATGACATATTTAGTAACAAATATTTACCTCTGGAGTATTTTTTTTATTGTCTGGTTCTTCTTCTTGTCCATTATCTACAGTAGAAGTGACTAGTTGATTGTTGATGTCAGCACCATAGGATGTGCAAGTTATTGGCCTAGAAATAACTGGTGTGGTATTATTTGTAATAACACTAACAGTAACTGCCGGCTGAACTGTTTCAGTAGTTTTCTCCCAGTCAAAATGATCACATTCTTTAACACCACGTCTTTTCATGCATCGTTCAAAAAGACCCGTTAACATATTATAATCGGGTTTGTCAGCATATTCAAGAGACTAAAGGAAAAAAATGAATTAAAATGTTATCAACTTTACAAAGTATAAGACCACTTTTCAGATTTTTTTTTTGGATGTTGTAAGGTTTTTTTAACTATTAATTGTATACTTGAACATTTAAGAAATTTTAAATTCTTAAGATATTCAAGTGCTTGTATATTATACTTCTACATTTTTGAAACCATGTTTCTTATAAAACGTACTGGGCGCTGATGGTAGACGAAAAAAAAAAATTAGAGAGATATTAAGCTAACAAGCATAATACCAAAAACGTGATTTAATAAATTATTTTATAAACTTCTTCGATATTCATGAAATGTAAGCAAGATAATGTCAAGCAATTGCTGATAAGAATAATTAGTTAATTATTTTTCATCTTTACTTTCTGTGTTTTTTTTTCAATTGCATGGCTAAATATATTTAGCCATGATCAGCAATATTATATATTTAGCCATGATTAATTGGTCATTTGGCTTAAAAACATTGTCACAAATATATTATTATATTACATTTCCTATTTTGTTTATTTAAAATGGTTCTTTCGTACTCATTTTGGTGAGAAATTAAGTTCAAGTAAAATACGGTTTGTTATACTTCACTATATAGTTATTGATGAATATTATATTAAAACCTGTACTGTGGGGTACAATTTAATGTTCGATAGTGGGTTACATTGAAATACTGATTTAAAGACTAATTAATTTAATTTATTATTTTTATTATTTACAAGTAGGTAAGCGGCGAGTAACAAACTACTTTTACCATAAGTACTGTTATGTTTTATATTTCATTTTTACTAGAGCAAGAATTTGTTCTGTTATAATTTTTGTTTTTATTATAACATGATTTATACATTATTATATTGAAAATTTATTATACACTGAATATGTTTCTTAACATAACCACTTATACTTTTTTATGCGTGTTAATTTTTTTTAATATAAAGACTCATTGAAATGTGCCCTGCATGGATTGAAATGTACCCCTACTATGCAGCACATATGAATAAAAAGTTACTTTTGTTTAACGCTTTTTAATAAATTATTATTTGATAATATAGGGTTTAAATAATAATAGTATGACATTTTAATATGAGAATCTAACAGAACCATTAAAGTTCAAATTGACTACAAAAAAAATTTTATTTAAATATAAATAAGTACACTTGACAAACCGGGAATTTACGATTAAAAATTAAACAATATTAAATAAATTAGGTACCTAATATATATTTAATATTTTACCTGAATATGCTCAAGAAACTGACGCAGATCTGATGGAAGATGTTTAAGAAGTGAGCGATGATCATAATTTTCTTTCATAACACCGACTTGCTCTTTATCTTTAATCTTTCGCCAAGGTAACTGACCATTAACAAACTCCGCCAACATATAAAACAATGACCATAGGTCGTCATGCCTTCCCATTTCCTAAACAAAACAAATGCTAGGAAATTAAAATTATAATTTTTTTTTGTGTAAAATATCTTATCATTAGCATTTAAAATGTATAATATAAATAATATATAAAAAATAATTGCTATAATTCTTAGATTCTGATAAAATAATAATCTACTTTGTAGATTGTAATAAATGCTTATTAAGTTTACACGAGGGATGGCGTTATTGATATATCAATACCGGTATGTTGTTATTTATGTTAATACCGGCATTTGAATATTTTTCATACTTCTATACTCTCAAATAAAAGTAGCTTCAAGGAGTAACCAATCTTCGTCTGGTTTGGTTATAGCACAACCATCAATTAAATTGCTTTTTGTTACCCACTTTTGTTCCCCATGATTGGCAGTATTGGTAAGTAATTACTTAACCATACTTTTTGATATACTAAAATATCGATAACCAAAAAGAAGATACTAAATATACCAACAGCCCTAGATCATACTATACAGTGTATACAGTTTATATATTTTTTGACAACTATTTAATTTTATGAATGGGGTTTTATGATTTAGATAGATAGGTACAAACACATTAATGATACTTACTTTATTTTTGTGGGCATTCAATGAAGCATATCTTACAGTACCACGGAAGCCAGCTGCAGTTCTAGGAGTTCTTACTTCTCCATTAGCAGTCGTGAATTGTCTAGCTAGACCATAATCCAACATGAAAACACAACGGGAATTTTGATAAAGTCTTCCAATAGCAAAATTTGACTAAATATAAAAAATAATACAATAATTAAATAAAATTTGTAAGAATTATTATATTATCACTTAAAAGTTTCTAAAGTAATCTTACAGGTTTTATGTCTCTGTGTAAAAATCCAACTTCATGGATACTTTCTATGGCTTTTAAAATTTGTACACCTAATCTTAAAGTGGTAGATAAAGAAAAAGCACCTCTCGGCTGTGCTCTTCTCAGCTCAGCTAAATTTTTTCCTTGTAACTGCATTACAACATAATTGAAACGTTCATTTCTTCCACAGCCAATAAAACGACACACGTGTTCTTTACCTTAAATTATATTAAATAATTATTGTATTATGCGTTTGTATAAGAGGAAGTTTTTTTTTAAGGCTCACTGTGCCAATGTAATTTTGTTTTTATAAAAATACCCTCTCTGGGAATAATGATCCTGTTCTGCAGAATCAATCAAATTACAGATAATATTCAACAAGCCGAATTTAAATCTGTTTTTGATATTTTAATCTCAAAATAAATAATATCTCTTCAAAAATAATACAATTGTAAGCTTTTTTCTACAAGTTATATTATATCATTATTTGAAATAAAATAAAAAACCCGAGATCGATGCGGCTCGTAGGAAGACTTTTCTTTTAGATTAAAAAATAGTTATCAAAATCCTACAGTTCTGCGAGGCTTAAAAATTATTCAGTCATTTTTCTTTTGATATAATACACAGTATCAACCCCCTTGCCCTTTCCCCCTAAATAGGTATCAGGAAGTAAATAAGTGAAAAAGTATTAAAATTTAAATGGCAACTAAAATATAAAATATAATTTTCAAATTGTATAGAACTGTAGAAAATTTGAAAAACCGGCACCGTGCACAGTCTTTATATTATACTATGTTTTAGGAATTATATTAATAGAATGAAAAAAAGCTACATTAATAAGAATATATTATATTGATACATAATATATATAAACTGATGACATTTGATGATATTATACGAATACAAATAATCAAATTATCAAGTATACCTATAATATTAAAACAAATCTAGGTTAAATGAATATAAATTAAATTATATTTTTCAAAAGAATATGAAAAGTAAGGTCTAAGTTATAGCTGATCTTTACAAATTAAAACAATGCAAATTATATTTTAATGGATAATTATAACAAAAAGGATATTTAATTTTTTTAGAGAGGAATAAAAAACTAATAAGATCTACTTTGGCAAAAATAAATACAAGCACTTCAAACACAGGACTAGATATTGAACAGTGGCACAGTTAAGACTCATATTTGAAATATTTTTGTACAATATTATTATTACTGGGGTAGAAGAATTTAAGCATTTTCATATTTCTTTTACACAACTGTAAAAACTGATTGGAAACAAATGAGTTTCATGTTAAGACAATGCAATATTTGTAATTTTATGTTGCATATTTAGATCTTTTTGAGATAAATTTGTTATGTTTCAGGCATATTTCTATTTTTTTTTGAAAATCTTCTATTAAACATTTAAAACAACAAGCAGTTATTAATTAGGGCACAAGACTTATAGCATTTGAATATTTTTTTCTAGATCTTGACACTATAACAGAGTAAACTACTAATTAAGTTTACACTAAAATTAGTTCAGAAACAAACATTTTTAATGCATAATTTTGCATCATTTAGGGTTTAACTCATTCTTTTTAAAATATTTTATGTGAATGCCATATTGGTTTTTTTCCTAATTACCAACAGATATCTAATTAAATTGTGTCTAATAAAATCCGATTGCAAGTATTTACAACTCTACAAGTATGTGCTAATTTTATATTATAGAATTACATTATTTAGCAGTGTTATGGTTTAATTTTTTTATGCTGTGTTTATAATTTGTTGATTATGCCTAAAGAAAAGAAGTTGGACGTCTTAGAAATTATGTAATGAGTTTGGTGTGTAGATACACTTTCATGATTCTTCTGTTTTTTAAGTAAATATTGTGACATTAAAACAAGGGTGTCCGCAGGAATTTGTCAAACGGAGGGCAAAATATTTTCCTTTTTACATTTTTTGTCTCACTATCCTATTAGTTATAAAGTATTTTTGTAACATATTTTCTTTCATATAGACAAGGAATGTAAAATATTTATGAATTATACATCCATAGTTAGTTAAAACTTAATCTTACAGCATTAATTTTAATTAATTGTTATGTAATTTTAAATTATTAATTACATTATTTTTAATAAATAAAATGTTACTGTTGGTTTTATAATTTTAGGTAAATAATTTATAATATTAAATATTTCTATCTTATTCAGTCATTGATACCACAAACTTGAAAAATTGTATGTATCCCATCTATGAACATTTAATTTTTTTTATAAAAAGTCCCACCACTACATCTCATAATCTATAAAAGCAACGTTCTTAGTTCTGACTCTGAATCGAGTGTAATAAAAATCACTCTGTTAAAAAAAAAAATGTTTTTATTTTTAATATAAAAAAAAGTTTATTTTGCGATATTTTATATTACAATGGTAATGATTAAGGTTTGGATTATAATGCACTTTGCATTGTTTTCCAAATCTACGGGATACTCGTTTTATAACATGCCTACATTGAATTTTTTGACGATTTTAAATTTAATGTAATTTTTTACATTTAAAGATTTTTAGAGCATTTTGAAGTTTTTTCTAAATTTAAATTTAAATTTTTCACATGTTTTTGTATGATTTTTATAACAAATATATGATCTAAAGTCTAAACCTATAGGTACAGAAAAAAAAAATTAATTTTCAGATTAAATAAGTAGTCTCAATGATAAGTTTTGTATGTAAAACTTTTCTACAATTATTTAAAAGTTTAAAATGTATAATATATTTATATCTTTAATATTAAAATAATTTAGTGCACTATTTAAAATTGTTAGGGCATTTTTTAGTTTTTTTAGAACATTAAAATCATCAATAATAATATATGATAATCAACCCAGAAAAAGCAAAGGGAGGAGCAACTTCCCCTACTTCCCTCCCCTGCGGACGCCTTGGCATTAAAATAAATTGTGATTAATGATTTAATGTGACCCAACATCTAACAACAAAAAGGCAATTAAATGTCAACAAACAAAAACACGGCAACAGCTTCTAACAAATTCAAATAGGTAACAAATCTATTTTCAATTAAGATATTTAATATCTTCTAAAATACCCTTAAAAAAGTTTCACATGATAGATTTAATAATTTATAAACTACAAATAAAGGAAAAAAAATTACAATGGGGTCCACTCTAAGGCAGGGTTAGCTACTATCTGACTCAATTCAAATAAATGAGAATGTTAGAATAACATTTAAAATACAAGGTTAGTCAGAAAAGTTGAAAACAGTTTTGGGAATAAATGTTCGTCTATCACTTCTGAAAAAGATATTTAATATCTTATTGAAACATGGAAAATAAAAACGATAATGGCTTCCCAGAATACATTTCCAGTGAAGACAATATAATGAATTTTAAGTATGCTCCCATAGCTTTAGTTGACGTGGAATGTTTTTCTAAATACAAGAAGATATTAAGCAGTAACAAAAGATCGATCAATTTCGAAAATATTAACTAATATGTAATTAATAATTATATAATGAGGAATTGTGAAGGTACAAATTGTTTAATTAAATTACAAATAATTTCTTAATATCCTTAATATTTTGGAATCAATAATTTGGAAGACATGTAGGTATGTATACTTAAATAAGTTATTTACCTTGTAATTTTTTTAACACAGCGACTTCCATTTTTAAGACTTGTTTAGGTTGACGAGCTGATTCTACTTTCAAAGCTATAAGTTCTTTTGTTATAAGATCTTGACCTTCATATATTTCTCCAAATCCACCACCGCCGATTTTTCTTGCCTAAACATGTATAGTTAATTGGTAGGTACAATAGGAAAAAAAAATTAGATACAGAATGAAGTTGTTAAACCTAAAAAAATGTAAAGGTACAATGGTTAATTTATTCAACAAATAGTAATATTTTACTATGAGTAGTTTAGGATGTTAATAAACTTATAATTATTAACCTTGTTAAAACAAGATGTAATAATTTATATTGTAATATGTCAAATTTCTCATAGGTATGAGTCAGTGGCGTAGCCAGGGGGTGGCTAAGGGGCTATAGTAGGGTAATCATACGTCGTGGTTTATACAGGATTGTTCTTTATTTCGGCTTTGTGTCCTGTTGTCCTGACAAACTTCTCTTAGGACGCTTTTTTCCCATAATTTCAAGTCTGTCCCATATTAATCCCGTTTTTTGACTAACAGTTAATGTATAATTTTTGAAATTTTTGAAATGACATTATTGAAAAGAATAATATAAAAATCTATAGTTTTCATATGTATTTTTTGATTTTTGTTTTTACCATTATTATTGTTGCATTATATAATAATATTATAGTAGTTTAGCCCTGTATTATATTTTTAAATATTGTAACACTAGGCTATAGCCCCCCCCCCTGATTGACTGTGCTACCTTAGAATTTTATCAAGATTAATGAAAAAATAAAAAGTGTAAATAAAAGACATATTGTATATTTTGTATTTTTTGTATTTTTTTGTGAGACTTAGCCAACCCCCCTCCCCCCCTCTGTATACAAAATTCCTGGCTATGCCACTGGTATGAGTGTATGGCATTTTTTATAACAATAAAATAAATTATTATAATTTATGATACTTGATTAACTACTGAAAGGACAATTTAACAAAATAAATATCTTAAAAATAAATGATACATATATTATTACAAAATAAGTGTTATTGACACTAACAGGCTATTATACTATCTTCATATAATGTTTTCTGTAATGAAGGAGAGCTATAACAATAATTTGGACTTTGTCCAAAATTTAAATACATCAGTATTGGTTAAATGTTTAAATGGTAATAATTTTATCAACAATTCTATATAATTCTTAGACTTTTTTATTTATTAGTTATTATGTTAATTAACTTGTTTTTATAAGTATATTTAATACATAGATATATTTTATTTATATTCGGTATATCAAATTGAAATATAGTTGAGTTTCATTAATTTTAAACTTTATTACATTAGTTATTATTTTTATATAATTATAAAATTAATAAGTTATACTGTAATAAATGTAAATAATTTAGTTGGTCACAAATTTAGAATAAAACCATTTATTCAAAAGATAATTAATTTAGAAAATGAATTAAGATATAAAAAATATATCAATGATGTACCAACATTAAAATATATACGTATATATTAACTGTTTTTAATTCCATGAAAAATATATATATTTTTAAATTATTTTGTAATTGTATATTCTTGTATTTAAAATAAAAACATTTACGTTCTATACATTCCTAAACATTTATTTCGATGAAATTAACATCATTGCACTATAGTTTATTATAGACGATTTATATTTTAAGTTTGTTTTATATAAGTGAGTTAAAATAAATTTCTAGTTTGAATTATGAAAAAAAAAATAATAATACCAACATTATTTAGAATAAAAAATAATAGAGTAGTGTTGACAAGATGGACAATGAAAATTATAAATAGAGACAGAAAATAAGTGGGAGACAAAATGTTTACTTACAACTTTCCACCTTTCTTTAACTATATGTCCTGGTTGTAACAGATCTTCGGAAGACATCTTAACTTATATATGCTCAAGTTACACTATGATTTGTTACTCGCCGTTTTTTACCAATGATATTTGGTCATTACTGAAAGAGACAGAAATATAATAATTACACAAGGTTAAAAAATGGTATCAAGTTACATTTGTCTAAAAATACAAATAATTAGGGTATGATTCCACAAAAAAATATACAAATATACAATTAATTATGGTTCTAATAGACTTTTAGAATATTAAATTCAATTTTCAATTTTCAAACATTATTTTTTTTTTTATTTCAAATTAAATGTTATCTAAAAATTAATTTATCAAATAAAATAGATACCTATATAATACCTATATTATTTTAATTTTTAAATAACCAATAGCTGTAAAGAATATTTTTATAATGCTTCTAAATTATATGAATATTTTTTTCTTAAATATGAATATGAATATAATAACTAAATGTTTTTCTTCGTTCTCAATATATCTTTAAAAAAAATGTATTCTCTCAGACATTTTCATTTTAATAGTATTATGAATTACCTATTGACTATATTATTTCTTTAAATAGCTGTCAATAACTAAAATAAAATATAAAGCATTTATATTTAAATTTATATGTAGGTATAAAAAAGTGTGTTGTACTTTTTTATTTACCTAAAATCTGAGATAATGTACCTATGGATTAAAACTTTTAAAACTACCATTTAAATTTTTTTAGGATACAAAAATAATCAATTTTAAATTTATTGTTATCACTTACCTACAGACCTGTCTAACTTCAAACCCAATATGGGAAGGATGGGTAATTAATTTATATTGTTTATTACTATAATTTAATCATTATTATGAGGAAACCTAATTTATCATGGTATATTACTCTATAGACGTATTAGAATAAAAGTAAATTTTCTAGGTAATTATTGAAGAATGAAATAGTTTTATTTTTAATATAGGTAAACCTATAAGTATAAAAATAACTGAAGTAAGAAATTCTACAAGTTTCTAAGGACTTACAAGTATCCTGTAAGAATGACCTCTTTAAAAATAACATACCTACCCGAAATCAAAATGGAGAAAATAATTAGGTACACAGAGCATGTTCATACGATATATCTATATTGTGATAATATAATAGATATACTAGTACAACAGTTTTAACTATTTACAAATAATTCAATTTGAGTTGAATTTTGTTTTTTCATTTTAATTAATATTTAATGTGTTATTGTAAATATTTATAACATATTGCACTTGTGTGTAATTAAATTCAACTATTAGATTATATCTTCATAAGAGAGAAAACAATTGTAATCATATATTATGTACCTAAAATAATTTATTACATAATAATAGGTAATTTAATAACTGCCTGATATTGATATACATTAATCAATTCATCTCACAAATATTTTTATTGCTGTGAAATATAAGATGTCTATAATAATATAATAATATTATTAGCATTAATATTATGACAGATAAATATGATATTTAATAACTTTGAAAAGACAAATATTGCAACAAAAAAAATGTTATTTCTTAAGATTAGTTTCACAAAATTTCTAGGATTTCTATGATATTGAGCTTAGAGAAATATAATAATTTATTGGTATAGATACTGGTTGAAGCATAACTATGCCATAAAGAATGTCATAAAAAAAAGAATAGATACCTGTAGAAGTCGATTGGCGACATTGTGGGGTCAATAGGACAAATGTATTGAATTTTAGTTCAACCAAAAATAAAACTATCATTTAAAAATATATACCACAGACCTAAAATATAATTAAATACTTGAACAGATTCACAAAGTAAGTACTTATTTTCAAAACAAATTATTAAGTTAAATTTAACAATTTGTTTGTAAATCCTCGATTGGTAGGTACGTTATATCATACATATTTATCTTAACTGTCAAAAATGTATTGCCACTGATTACTTAAGTTTAATAAAGATAATTTATTTGAATTGACTACCTAAGTAACAAAAAACATTTTAAAGTAATACATAATATGACTTGATAAAATGAACAACAAAATACTTGGTATTAAAATAAATTAATATTATATGTATTACCTACCCGTACCTACCTAAACTATCAACAAATTTAAACTCAATAAAGTATTTAAATGAATTAAGACCATTGCTGTTAATCATTAGTTACAATACCTAATATAATTTGAAATTAATTTTATACCTATTCTAGCATTAAGTGTATAAGGAAGGTAGGTACACAGTTCAATATTTTATGTCTTTTATTTCCACATAAATAATAAATATTATATGCATAGGTTCACAATTTAAAATTAAGAAAATTGATACAAAATTTGAAAGAAAAACTATTCAGTAATTTTGGCATGGCCTTAATGTTAAAGGTTCCTTTTAATAGGTATCATATGCTTAGTATTAAAGAATTGAATTTCATGACTTTTTTAAATTATTACTTTGAGTTACATAATTTTATAACTTTATAAGTTAGTTTTACCTAACTCTATAATATTGCAATATGTACTTATTGTATTTCATAATTTGTATGTAAAATATATTATATACCTGTGTAGGTACATATTAAATATAGGTATATTATAGGCATAGTTTTACCCGTATACCTACGGTAAATTAAATATATTTTCTAAAAGAAAACTACATAAGTTAAAATCATTAATCTTTACTTATAACTGTAAATGTATTCAATAAATATTTATAAATTAAATCAAGTGTTATTAGTACTGAAATAATGTATAATTATATAACCTGGACCATGACATGCTAATAGTGTCTCAGTACACTTATGTTATCTAATATTATATATTATTATAAACAGTAGTACCTCACTAGGCAGACTTATATGGGACAGGTGTATTATAGAGGGTTTGACCAAAAAAAAAAGCAACATATTATTAATGCAAAATGTATACCTATATCAAGGTCCTACTATACTATGCAATAACTGGGTTGCATTTACAAGCCAATATCTATAAAAATCGAATAGAGCTATTAAAAGTAATGTGGCTCAGCCTTAGACTGAATTAAAAAATGCAGTGTAACTGTAAGTATGAGTTGTACCTAATGGATATTTTGAAAAAAAAGAATCAATAATAATGAAGGTACCTATATGTATAATGTATTATACAAATTATGTAGCCGAAAAACCAATTCATATCCATCTGGCCTACACAATTAAACATATCAAAAATATCTTAGATTTTTTTTTTGGTGCTTATAAAACTAACGCAAAACTTTGCCTGAACAAAACCAAAATATAATAAAAAAAAATATATGTATATTGTAGAGAGTACCTAACCGATAGTAGTATGTTTATGTAGGTAAGTAGAAAACCATTAATTACATCAATTACACAAAAAACTAAGTACCTACCCAAATAAAGTTTTAAACTAAAAGTGAGATTAAAAAATTGCATCTAAAAACTCTTGAGTAACAACAAATTATTGTCATAATTGCTACCTAAATTAAATAATATACACAGGTATATAAATTTGAGGTACCTATTATACTTCTAAGAAGAGCATATATTTTATGAAAAATCCTCCTGGAGTCAGCAAACAAACATATTGGATGTTTGTTTATTGTCTTGGGCAGTAACAACACCAATCCTATGGAACCCAAACCCGTAAGACAAGGTATTGTTTAGCGTTTGGGTAGAATGGAATGCGGCATCACTATTCTCAATCCACAGCAGCGGGCTACATATTATTATGGGTTTAACTGCTTATTAATCAAACTATTAATCTAACTACACAGCGCACAATTGTTCCACCGGTGCACACACACGACAACTGACAAGACTATTTTGAAATCCAAACAAAGGTATGCACAATAGTATTATAGATCGGACTATGGTCTTTGTCGTGCGAAATGATAAATTGATAACGTATGATCGTCGGTGGGCATACGGATCGGTAGGACGGGTGGCGAAGACGGATCAGGGCGGGTTAGATAAATATTACACTGTGTAACATGAAACATTAATACTTACAGGGGAACAGCGGACAGCGACTACGTGCGGGACTGACCGGTCGCCGCGACCGCGGGCAGCTGCTGTCGGTCTGCGGGTCCGACCGGCACGGAGACACTTCAGCGAGACGGCCGTTGGGCAGCCACAACCGACGTACAACCAACGTCGTTGGTACTAATGACAACAGTGACGGTATCGATACGGCTGCGTAACGTCGTCGCCGACGTAACAGCCGTCATGATAAGACGCGGAAGAGATACGGTGGCGGGCCGGCGGAACACCCTCGGCGGCGGCGGAACGAATATAATATCGATAATATTATTATTATTATTATTATATATTGTAGGGAGCGTTGTTGGGGAGTTGCTAGGCGAGGGTGAAACGGGTTGGCGGGCGGCGGTACGCAACGTTACACGGTGAAAAACAACGGACGACGACGACGACCGCGGTTGTTGTGATGTACGACGCGACGCTACTACGCTAGGCGCCCGGTGGTATTGATCGACCCGTCCGTCCGTATCGTCGCGTCGTTAGTTACTGCGTGATCGGAGCGCGCGACTTAACGACGTGCGTCGACGGTCGCGTAGTCGGCACGGCGGCGGCAGCTTTGGCCGTCGGACACGCGCGCGCGGGTGTCAGATTGCACTCGGCGGGCGGATTATGTTATTATGATATTATTATTAAAATTGTTTCGCACGCCGGCCGATTACCGCCGCACCTGGCCAGCAGCACTATGTTGGCACGGTGTGGACGTGGAAACGGAAAGCGCAGCTCGTCGGCCGGTCTGGAAGACGGCAGATGTGACGATCATTGATTGTGCCTTGAGCGCGATTTTTTTTCTGCTCGTTTCCCTATTTCCTCGGTTCCTCCCGGCCGGACGGGTTATCAGGCACGGCACGGTCGCACGGACACGCAGGCGCGATCCCTAACCCTTGGGCGCTTGCGCGCCGAATCCACGCGAATAAAATCCGATCAGCTGTTGCCCCAATTTCGCTACTTCTCGACACTAGTTAAACGGGTGAAGTGTATAATATTATATATATATATT